TTTTTTTTTTTTTTTTTTTTTTTTTTTTTTATGTTTTCGATGAGATCATGAGGAGTGGGGGGTGTTTCTTAGATTGCACTTATGCCATTTCTCAACAATTTTCTTTATGACGGTCAGCATCATACTGATTAGCATATATAGGAGCATTTGTGGAACCCATCACGTTTAGATTACTTGGCGCTGTTAGAAACCAGTTGTAATGACGCTCGATGATGTTAGTATCTCTTGTAAAAACTATAACTTGTAAACTCTGGTGGTCTTAGTAAACTTGTACTTGAAGTATGGTAGTAATTCGATTTCAGATATATGATCTATTGACAAGTTTTTTCCATTAAGACTTGCAACCTTTTGTACCAATGTGAAATGCATTACGGGGTCTATTTGGTTTACGAAAATGTTTCCTGTACATGGGGTATGGTATCAATCTTACTGCTACCGGGGAACTAGGTTTATTTTTCTTGTTCATTTCGCATGTATAGAACACTAATCATAAATGTTTATGATTTAGAATTCTTATTTTGCAATCACTGAATTGAGTGCACAAACCATATTAGCTGCAGTTCGTGTGTGTTGCTCTTGCTTTTTTCAATTAGATTTTAAAATTCCCAAAAATGACGGATTTACTGACAGAACTACTGAATTTTGGTTTGTTCAGCCGTTTTGGCAAGTTTGTCGAAATCCAGTTTGACGCAAATGGTAGAATATCTGGTGCTGCAATCAGAACCTACCTTCTCGAGAGATCACGTGTAGTCCGGATAACAGACCCTGAGAGGAACTATCATTGTTTTTATCAGCTGTGTGCTTCCGGGAATGTAATTCTTTTTCCTGCACTTTTACGTCTCATAAGATATTGGTCTCAGTTTTCTTGCTATCGAGCTAAGCCAGATTTTTTTTGGCTGCTGTTGTCAGTAACCTATGCCGGTTACTAATGTGTGAATGTTTTTTCATTGTATAGGACGCTGAAAAATATAAATTAAGCGATCCACGTCAATTTCATTATCTAAATCAAAGCAAGACTTATGAACTGGAGGGAGTAAGCAACGCAGAAGAGTATAAGCATACAAGGAGGGCCATGGATATTGTGGGCATAAGTCACGATGAGCAGGTGTTTTGATTTCTAATTGTATTTTCATATAGTTTTCTTCCGTCAGTTTTTAATTGTCCTTGTTTCTTGTATAAATCATTAATCAGGAAGGGATATTCCGCACGCTTGCTGCAATTCTGCATCTTGGAAATGTTGAGTTTTCCCCAGGAAAAGAACACGATTCTTCGGTAGTAAAGGATCAGGAGTCTAGAATTCATTTGGAGATGGCTGCTGATCTTTTTAAGTACGTGGAATTTTCTGATAATACTAATTTTTTAACTAGACGTACGAAGAAATCGCTTGTTTATTTTGTTGTATTCCGAAATTAATCAGGTGTGATCCAAATCTTTTGTTGGCTTCGCTCTCTACACGTTCAATTCTGACCCGTGAAGGTCCCATAATCAAAGCACTTGACTGTAATGCTGCTGTTACTAGCCGGGATGCACTCGCGAAGACTGTTTACGCCCGTCTGTTTGACTGGTTTGCTTATACTTGCTTCATCCTTTCATTCAGTGGATGTTTATTAATGCATTACACTTCTGTTTAATATTTTCTTTTAATGCTTCTGTCAGGTTGGTTGACAAGATTAATAGGTCTGTTGGTCAAGATCCAAACTCACGTTTTAAAATTGGAGTCCTGGACATTTATGGCTTTGAATGCTTTAAGAGTAACAGGTTAGTGTTGCTTTGTTTAGGTAGTTAACTGTTTTTAGCCTTACTCATTGCTAGTTTTATTGGCGCACCATGTAAACTTTGTCTGAGCTGGTGCATTTCTGTCGGTCTGGTATATTTTTCACTCAATCTACCTCTAAAGATGAAAACTAACACCAAAATACTTGTTCACACTCTGCAGTTTTGAACAATTTTGCATCAATTTTGCAAATGAAAAGCTTCAGCAACATTTCAATGAGGTAATATAGATGGCTCTTTTCAAAGGTCAAGCCAGATTTTGGAACATTACTACCTGTCTTATAATCTCTGCTTTGTTTTCAGCATGTATTCAAGATGGAGCAGGAAGAGTACAGAAAAGAAGAGATTAATTGGAGTTATATCGAGTTTGTTGACAACCAGGATGTCTTGGACCTTATAGAGAAGGTACGTTTCTCCATGTTTCAGCTAGATTTATATTAACATTCTATTCTAATTCTTTGGCCCTTAACCTGTTGCGATCTTTGAAACTTGCAACAGCCTATGTTGTCGAAACACTTCAATAAGTTTTTTTTTTGCCACCTTCGGTGAGGGATTTTGGTTATGACACTTATTTTCAAATTCTCATGTCTTTCTATTTACTTTACTACTATACTCGGATTGTCGAAGGGTCGAGTTCAAGACCCTTGACACAGTGTATATGTTGAATCGTATAATCTAAAGAGTTATTTCGGTTAAATGTTATTTTTGTGCCGTGCTTTGTTATAACTCAACGCCTGCATGGTCGAAGTCTAAGAAAACAAACGGATTACTGATGTCACATTGTACTGTCGCATATCTTAGCCTGGTTAATGTGTCAGTACATTCACCACACTTCTAAAGTTCACTACGACGCCATTATTATTCCCGTTATGAATATAGATTGTGGACGATAAAGGATCTAGTCTAGCTGGAAGAATACTAGAACTTAGTGAAAAACATTTATATTCTTCGGTTGATAGTTTTGTTGGATGCTGCTATGGTGAAATTTAATAACACGAATGTTGTAGTTGCCAGCCTCAAAAATTGTATTCCCCTTTTGTTTTCTTTGTTTTTCCTCCGATTCTACTATTAATGTTTTTGCTACCTGCAGAAACCTATTGGAGTAATTGCACTCTTGGATGAAGCTTGGTACAATCCGTCTCATCTTGTGTCTCCAAAATAGTATCTTCTCTTTGTGCGCTGACTTATCTTTGTTTGTTTTTTATGCAGCATGTTTCCTAGATCAACTCATGAATCATTTTCAATGAAGCTATTCCACAACTTTAAAACGCATCCTAGATTAGAGAAGCCAAAATTTTCAGAGACGGACTTTACGCTCTCTCATTATGCTGGCAAGGCAAGTCGTGCTCTAGAACAAAGCTTAATGTTATTTTGTGTCCTTCAAGTCTCACTCAGTTTGCCCCATTTCATTTGCAGGTTACTTACCAGACTGAAACGTTTTTGGATAAAAACCGTGATTATGCTATAGTGGAGCATTGCAATCTGTTGTCTTCATCCAAATGCCCCTTTGTTGCTGGACTTTTTCCGTCAGCGCCAGAGGAGTCTACCAGGTCATCTTACAAATTTTCTTCCGTGTCTTCCAGATTTAAGGTCAGGAAACTGCCCAGCTATCTCCTTTTCACGTTGCAAGTTACTCTGTTATGAAAGTTGTGTATATCAAGAACTATCAGTCGTGAAACCGATCATTGATTTGACCATTAACTTTGATTGTAGCAACAACTTCAAGCTCTCATGGAAACTCTCAACGAAACGGAGCCTCACTATGTTCGTTGTGTTAAGCCAAACTCACTCAACAGACCTCAGAAGTTTGAGAATCCTAGTGTCTTACATCAACTTCGTTGTGGGGTTAGTTCATTTTCACATTTTCCGTGGCAGATATGGTCAATTTTATAGGAGAAAGTCTTTGGCCTTTTTTTCTAGCTAGTTTGGTGTCTCCATCAGTCACTTCCTTAACGTAAATGAATTGTGTCAAGTTTATTAGCATGATTATATCTTTTCTTGTCGCAGAATGCATATATTCCCCGTGCTATGATAGGCTAGAAATGTATATTCGTACTCTTTTCGATCTTGGTCAGAATGCAATTTGTATTTATCTTATACTTTGGATTTTTGTTGGCACGATTCAAATGAATGTTGTTTTCTTCTAAAGGTCATTATGCTTTCTAACCATTTCAGTCCATGTTTTGGTACAGTTTCTTTCTAAAATTGTTATATGTCTACTCTCAGCTGATTGTACTAGTATTTTTCATGTTCATGCATTTTCTTTCATTTTCGTTGTTTGGTATTTTGACTTTGATGATACCTTGTGTCTCACAATTGGATAGGGTGTACTGGAAGCTGTTCGGATTAGTCTTGCAGGGTATCCCACACGAAGGTATTATTCAGACTTCTTGGATCGGTTTGGTCTGCTAGCTCCAGAGTTCATACATGAGAGGTACGCATATTTGATGTATGGTTCTAAGATCATTGTCCGAGTGGTTATCCTATATTTGTTCACGCAATTTTGTTAACCTGTGTAATTTTTCTTTTACATTTTTCTATGACTTTCTTGTTGAAGGAAAATAATGTGTCGATAAGCATTATTGAATAATCTTTTTGCCCAGCAAGGTTGATATATACATTATTTGCAGCAATGATGAGCAGGCACTGACCGAGAAAATCTTGAGAAAATTAGGTCTTGGGAATTATCAGGTGTGCTGATCCCAACATTACTATTACTAATAACATTTTGCTTCTTAGTGGGCTAAAAATCTAAAGGATTTTCTCTAACGCATGACACCCAGTTAGATATTTTAATTGATTTGCTGATATGTGGATCATCTTTCACAGCTTGGAAGGACAAAAGTGTTCCTTAGAGCTGGTCAAATTGGCATTTTGGACTCTAGGCGGGCTGAAGTTCTTGATGCTTCTGCAAGACTCATTCAGCGAAGACTGAGAACATTTGTTACGCATCAGAACTTCATCTCTGCGCGGGCTTCTGCCATTTCTATTCAAGCATACTCTAGAGGTTTCTTTCTCATCCACTACTATTCTTATTTCTTTGTTCATATGCGGTTCTCTTGCATTCGAATTTTGTGGTTATTTGAGATATCTTCAGATATGTAACAACCTACTCTTTGAAAATTATGTATTGACTTTTTTGTTAAACTTGTTCACATGTATCTTGCAGCAATTGTGGTTGCTAATATATTATTAGTTTGTACATACTTTTTTCCACTTTTCTTATCTCTGTTTCATTCGATGCCTAATAATAATAATATCCATTGGCAAGGATGCCTGTCTCGAAATGCTTATGCCACTAGAAGGAATGCTGCGGCAGCAGTTTTGGTACAAAAGTATGCGCGCAGGTGGTTGTCAAGATGTGCATTTGTGAAATTTGTATCGGCTGCCGTAGTATTACAGTCTTACATCCGTGCTGATTCAGCTCGTGTGAAGTTTGCACATCAGAAACAACACAGAGCTGCTTCTGTCATTCAGGTACGTTGAATCTCCGAGTTTGTATGATAAATTATGAGTTACACTTTGTGTTTGAAGTTTTCATATAGGGTACCATGTATCCAGCTAGTTTCCTGATGTCTTTATCCTCATTCATGATTGCACTCTCTAATGCATGCTCGAATAATGTGTATGATAAATCTCTTAGGCTCGTTGGAGAATGCATAAGATTCGGTCAGCATTCAGGCATCGTCAATCTTCCATTATTGCCGTTCAGTGTTGTTGGCGGCGGAAGCTTGCAAAGAGAGAGTTTAGAAAACTTAAACAGGTATGTTTTACTTATGTTTTAGAGCAGGGTGATATCAATTGGCTACCTAGCCCCCAAAGGATGAACATGCAAATCGTTGTCTTGCAGGCCGCTAATGAAACAGGTGCTTTGCGATTAGCTAAAACTAAACTTGAGAAGCGGTTAGAAGATCTTGAATGGCGGTTGCAGCTTGAGAAACGATTGCGAGTATGTTCCCAATTTTGTCGTTTATATAGTACTGGTCTCCTGAAACAGTGTAAATAATTGCAAGTGCTTTAAAACAGACAAGTGGTGAGGAGGCCAAGTCAGGTGAAGTATCCAAGCTTCAGAAAACATTGGAATCTTTCAGCCTCAAACTAGATGCAGCTAAGCTGGCTACCATTAATGAATGCAATAAGAATGCAGTACTTCAAAAGCAACTAGACATATCCATAAAAGAGAAGGCTGCTGTTGTAAAAGAACTTAATGGAATGGTTGAACTGGAAAAAGAGAACACTTCTTTGAAGGTAATTTTCCACTGTTCTTATGAATGCATATAAAGAGCTTGTTCTCTCATTGTCTTAAACTTGGACTCCTTTTTAAGGGCTGTATTCTCTATCATTAATTTTTCTATCAGTTAAAAATTTACTTTGTTTTTTAGGGAAGAGTCCTTAGTTTTTTCCCTTGGGTCAACCGCAGTTATGTTTCAATTAACCTACAGGGCGGTCAAATTTTTTATGTCTTCTATAATAACTGGATCCAGTTTCGGGAGAGTGTGAAAGTTGATATATAATAATTGCATTTGTGAAAGGGTAATAAGAGGTTCTTAGAAATTCTTTCAAAAGTGGTTAATCTTTGGATAGCATGTTTTATTCTTTTCTTCGTTCACTGCTTGTTTTTTTCTTTTCTTTGATATATATTGGTATCTTTTTGGTAATACTTTCATTTTTTTGCTTAGAGCTCAAATTCTTTCGTTTTGGTTATTCACGGGATTTTGGTAACCCTTTTTAAATGACAGAACTCGATGAATTCCTTGGAAATGAAGAATCTGGCTCTGGAGAAGGAGCTTCTGAGTGCTAAAACCGATTTCAATAACACATTACAGAAGTTGAAAGAAGCTGAAAAAAGATGTTCTGAACTCCAGACGAGTGTTCAAAGGTTTGTAATTGCAGGTTTTTTTTCTCAAGTCAGCCTCAGGTTTGTGTTTAACCAGTGTATTTGCTCTATCTTTGAGTTGTTTACAGTCTCGAGGAGAAACTTTCTCGCTTGGAGAACGAGAACCATGTATTGAGGCAGAACACGTTAAGTTTATCCCCGAAGAGAATAGGACAGAGAGTTGGTGAAGTATGTAATCATTGACTATTCTCTGCTGCACTTTTTGAATATGCATGCCCGAAAGTATGCACTCTGTGAAATTGCTGGATATCATAACTTTTTGGATCATGCATTCCACCACCTTTGCTTTTCAGTTTATTCTCATCCTGTTTTCTTTGGTCTATACTTTTTACCAACTGCTCATTATTACCGTCTACTCAACAGAAACACTTTAGTGCTATTGTACCAGCTCAGAGTGACAGGAGATCTGTTTTTGTAAGTAAATACTCCTTTTCTTCATTTGTTTTATATGACCTCTATCTTTTTATTAATTAGTTTGTAAGTGCTTAAATATGATGACTCTATTTATGCCGTTAATATGTACAGGCGACACCCACACCATCGAAGCACATTATGCCAATATCACATAGCCTGTCAGAGCCACGTCGATCCAAATTCACTGCAGAAAGAAACTCGGTACACATTCACTGCCATTTTCATTAGGCTGTCAATATTTTGTTTTACTGTGAATGAAGTTGTTTTCCTGAGTTGATAGTAACATGTTTGAATCAATATGTTTGTATTATATCTTATTCTGTTTCTTCTCCTGTAGAACCTTCTTGTTGTTGGGTTAAGTAGATACTAATTTTGACATAAGTTACCACTGTAATGCAGGAGAACTACGAGTTACTCACCAGATGTATAAAGGAAAATTTGGGATTCAATGATGATAAGCCACTGGCTGCTTGTGTAATATACAAATGTCTTCTACACTGGCACGCCTTTGAATCTGAGAGCACAGCCATATTTAACATCATTATCGAGGGAATTAATGAAGCCCTTAAGGTGATTCCTGCTGTAATTAAATTTTACCCTCTTGATCTCACTCTTGCTTAAGGGATCTCGTAACAACTCTTCCAAATTTCTTAGCTTAGACAAATTGATAGAACTCTTTTATGTACTGGTTTCTATATTTGTTTCAGGGTGGAGATGAGAACAGTGTATTACCTTATTGGCTTTCAAACACTTCAGCACTTCTATGTCTCTTGCAGAGAAATCTGCGGTCGAACAGTTTTCTAAATGCTAGTGCTCAGCGTTCTGGGAGGGCTCCATATGTGAGTTCAGTGGATATCTCCACTTCAGAGTAGTTTGCACGTTTCAAACAAAAATTCTCACTGTCTATAGTTTATTGAGATTCAGAAGCACCGTGTTACCTGTTATAACATGTTCACTGTGTAAACTGATGTTCTGTTTCTTGCGTACCAGGGAGTAAAGACTCCTTTGAAACTTCATGGACCTGACGATGGTCCTGGGCAAATAGAAGCAAGATATCCTGCAATATTATTTAAGCAGCAGCTAACAGCATGTGTGGAAAAGATTTATGGTCTAATTCGTGATAATTTGAAGAAAGAATTATCACCGCTTCTTGGATTATGCATTCAGGTGAGAGTCCAAAAGTAGGTAGATATTCAGCGTCGTTGATATTGATTCTCTGAATGATTTATTGGATACCATTAACTTTGTTCTTTAACATGCATCAAGATACCTAGTTAGTAATTTCTCATGTAGTCTTCATTTTATTTGTGGTTTTTTGTATACAACTTGATAGTACATAATATAAAGTTTGTGTACTGCATTATATGTTTGTTATGGGACAGAAGATCTGGGTTGCCATATATTCCTAAATAAAATATAGCAATTTGGTTATGGTAGCGTTATAATTTGTGTGTTTACTGAGCTGCGTTAGAGATTTCATCTCTTCTTTAGTCTCAAAGTACAGAAAAATTTGTTGGAATATGCTATAACTTTTTAAGTGTTTCTTTAATGATTCTATAGGCGCCCAAAGCTTCACGAGGGACTGCTGGAAAATCATCTAGATCACCAGGTGTTGCGCCGCAGCAATCACCGAGTAATCAATGGGAAAACATACTTAAATTCTTGGATTCTCTTATGTCCCGCCTACGCCTAAATCATGTATGCACATCTGCTATTGATAAACTTTTACTCTTCTAAGTTTGTGTATATTGTATTGGTCTAGTAGTTAAGCTGTTAGTTTCCTGTTTCTCCATGTGCTAGGATTAGGAATTTGAATGCTCATGTCCCAAAATTCCTTGTGCTTTAAGAATATCTACGTTTTTTTTTCTAACCTGGATATTGTATTGGTAGGTACCCTCGTTCTTCATTCGCAAACTTGTGACTCAGGTTTTCTCGTTTATCAACTTATCACTTTTCAACAGGTAAATGTGATCATAATTTCAGTTATTTTCTTTATTGCTTACCGGGATTACATTTGTTTTCTGCATATTTAATACGAATTCCTTTTCAGTCTTCTCCTTCGACGTGAATGTTGCACATTTTCAAATGGGGAATATGTGAAATCTGGGATTTCAGAATTGGAGAAGTGGATAGCTAGTGTCAAGGAAGAGGTACACCATGTTATATACTCGTTAGTTGCTTCATAGACGGATGCTATCTGTGATCTAAAATTTCGTGAATGCAGTTTTCAGGAACTTCTTGGCACGAGTTAAATTACATAAGACAAGCTGTTGGATTCCTGGTAAAACTCATCTTATTTTCGATAAAAAATTCTAGTTTCATTTTGTAGTGGAGCTTGCTTTTAATTGATTTTGTATTGTATGAAACTTTTTAATTTCGTCCTAGGTTATACACCAGAAGAGAAAAAAATCACTGGAAGAAATCAGGCAGGACCTATGCCCGGTACGTCAATGTTGTTTAGCTTCCTTTTTTTTTTTTTTTTCTGAATCCTGGCCATAAGCACTTTTGTGATCTCACGAAAACTCATCGCTATTTTATTCTGATATAGGCATTGACTATAAGGCAAATATATCGAATTAGTACCATGTACTGGGATGATAAATATGGAACTCAAAGTGTCTCAAGTGAGGTGAGAAAATGTCTAAAGCTCTTAATCCTGGTCATTTACTTGGGTTGAAATGTCTATTTAAGCACTTCTCCACAATGTATCTTTGTGCTGTAGGTTGTTTCTCAAATGAGGGTGCTTGTTGACAAGGATAGCCAAAAACTAACATCCAATTCCTTCTTGCTGGATGATGATATGAGGTACTATTCTCTTCCGTTTTAGTCTGTATAACTAAATGAAATATTTCATAAGTCGGCTCTCAAGCTTAGTTATACGTGGGTAGAATAATATGGTAGCTTAGGATCCATGTAGATTGAAAAACGCATTTCGAAGGTTTGGTTTGGGCATTTTGCTGAGAGTCGACGGTTAATCAAGTTTCTCTCGTATAACTCAGACGTAATTCAAGTTGTCACATCATATAGATTAATGTATCGTTTTATGTGTGTGTGTGTGTTGTGCAGCATTCCTTTCTCCGCAGAAGATATAGATAAGGCAATTCCAGTTTTAGACCCATCAGAAATAGAACCACCAAAATTTGTAACAGAATATACTTGTGCACAGTCCCTTGTGAAGAACCCCTCCACAGCTTCAGCCTCAAAGCAGATCACTTGATGCATATGAGCTTTTGATTATGCATCAAATGAAAGTTAGATGAAAAAAAATCATTTGGTAATTTGCAAACTTCTCTTTATGAGAATGAAACAGTGGAAGCTTAGTCTTGGTAAATGTAGAATTTTACTATACGTTGAAGGAAAAAATATTTGTAGTTGTGCAATTGTCAGTTTTTCACGTTATTTCTTTCTTTTTGGGACTGTAAATGGTACAACATCTTTTGTGAATATAAAGTAATGAATCTTAATTCTTTGAATTTTATTATGGATGTTATCATTGTTCATTACATATCAGAGTCTTTCTTTTGAGGGTTACGGGCCAACAACTATGTTGATGATATCAATGCGAGCATTCCCGTCCCGTGACTATTTCGTTAACGTGGACAAAGTGATTTGACACTTTTGTGAAAGTGATTTTGTAGTTGCGATACACCGCCAAATTTATTGGTGGCCAAATCAATCTATTCTTTTGTTATAACCGAGATTTTTTTTTTTTATATATTGAGAATTATTTAAATTTCACTTGTATAATAAAAATTTATGTAACAAAATCATATTGTTTTATTATTTCAATCTAATTTATATCATTAATTTATTTTTTAACTACATAAATTAAGAAAATAATAATTGTAATAGAGATTGTAATAGTTAAACAAGGATAAAACTGAACATTTGACCATTTTCAATTTATGTGAAAAATTAAACGGCATTTTTTTAAAATGGAGAGTAATAGATTTTCACAAAATTATAATATATATGTATATTAAATGTTAACTATTAAACAAGCTTAAAATCATTAAGCAAATGTATACTCATAGTCAGTCATTCAGATCCTTTGAGAAATCTCAAAACGATATTGTTGACTTCTTGAACATATTCGGTCTGGGGAACATGTGAAGTGTTTTTTAATCATTTCCAGTAACAAAATATAAGAATTATTACATGGAAAAGGAGGTGAGAAAGCATGGCAAGTAACGCAGTAATATTCAAGTGAATTAATAGTAATTCTCCGCATGTTTACTACTGAACAAGCTTAAGAACCATGTAGAAAATGTATAATTATCATTATTGAGATCCTTTCAAAAATCTCAAAACGATATTGTTAAACTCTTGAGCACATTCGATTTGGGGAATATGTGAAGTGTTCTCAATGATTTCCAGTTTCGTCTTATCTCCAAGAATCCTACATAGATATATACCAACCATTGCCGCATTTAGAAAATATGCTAAGAATACTAGTGTCTTTAGGAACAATTAATTCAATATACTCCAAACCTTGACCAAGAAATACTCTTGTACACTTACTCTTTTAATCCGTAGGCCATCTTCACGGGAAATATTTGATCTTTGTCTCCCCATACTATTAGGACCTCCTAAGAGTATATATAAACGCCTTAAAGTTAATCATATGATTTCCATTTAAGTACGCATATTAAATTGTTAGAAGTAGATTACGTTTGATTTGAAAAACATTCCATGACATGTTTGAAATTACATCACTACTACAAAACAAAGTTTACGTGTTTGAGAAAAAAAGAAGCACGTACCTGAGAAAGAGGATCGATGATTAATTTCTCGTCCCTGCCAAGAGTTACTCCCTTCAATAACTCTATTTTCTCTTCTCTATTCTTTTGATATAAATTCTGCATAAAAGTTTGATCTATGTCGTTACAGTATGATACTTATTGTCAGCACCTAACAATCTAACATAACTACATAAGAAGACAATAATACTTAGTCACTTACACTAATAAAGTCGTTCCAGAGAGCATCAGGAAACATACGAAGCATCTTCCATGAAGATGCCAAACCCATAAGTGTCCGAAGCTCGGACGCCGTTGATGGTAACATAACTTTCTCAATGCACTCACAGTTCGATCGTTGCAATAAACTTTCACTGTCACACTTTCTCATGTTGATGCCGGAGCTTGCGATCACTACTTTCTCCACTTTTTCCGGCCACATTTTTGCCATATGGTACGCCACAAATCCACCGTAGCTTGTCCCAACCACATTAAACTTCTTCTCTATTCCTATTTTCTCCATTAGCTTTGCCATACACTCCGCCTAATTTATTTGTTTTTGGTTTATATTAAGATTTGTTTTTAGTAAACAAAAATGAGTTCAAAATTTTAATTATAATGTATCAAAGGTCTAAAGAAAATACAGGCAGTTAATTTGGACTAACTTTATGTTACCGTCCAACTTCTATATCTATCAAATATATTAATCAGTAGAATTTTCAACAAATATATGTTGAATAAAACAGAACTCATATTAAGAATAACTTACAAATATTTTTCCCCTATCTGTTAAAAAGATATTTAAATAAATATATTTTCTGAGTTACTAACAATAATTTTAAAAATACTATTGTTCAAAAAAGTTTTAAAATACTATTAACGTGACAAGAAAATAATACTAGTTCAAATCCAATTACCCTAGTGGAAATCATGTGGAAACTAATTGAACCAAAAAAATCATTTTAGGACTATAAAATTTATAGAGATATTTAGTGTTGTTATGGAATAAAGAAGAAGGTTGTAACTCTCTATATCTTATTCATCACGTGCACATACATATATATACATACAAGAGAATAAGCATATTCCTTAGGAGATAAGGATTACAACAATAAAGGGGATGATTATCCTAATCCTATAATGATTAGGATAACTACAACATATGGATAAATACAAGGGAGGATAGTGACTGATGNGTGGTAAAAAGGGAAAACCAAGGACAGGACAAAAGAGTACAACACATGAAACTCCCCCTGATGAATACACCACTGACGTGTGATCATCTTGGAACTTCTAGTGTCTCTTAATGCCTTCTGGAACTCCATTAAGACATGGTCATGTCGTGCCTCTGATGCCACTGACCATTCTATGTCCTGGTTGGACAGATTTCCTTGTTGGACTGGTGTTCTGGTCGGATGGTACTTGACCAGTACTTGGATGGGCTTATGATCTGCATACAACCATTGTTTGCAGGCCCATCTCATGTTCTATTATGTCCCACGGATCCACTGATCATATGGCCTAGCCATTTCGTGAACATCCTATATAGAGTCATAGACCAAAACATATATGAACCATCCTTAGGTTCTCATGGACACTCCTAGTCCATTTGGTCATACACCAATTGTATGTGCTAATGGTCTTGTCCATTATGGTCGATATCCTTTCCCATCCTTTGGGTAAGTTCATGTTATGTAATAGACCTTGTCTATCACGTCCATAACCTTATGAGTTACCTCACCAAGTTGCTGCAATGAATATTATGATCACATCCAACCATGGATCTGCAGCAAATGCTCATGGACCTTTAAACATGACTTATCGACCTTTCTTGCCTTTAGCAATACTATATCTATTAGGACTTAACCATGCCTACTTTTGGTCACTCTTTTGGACTCTTATAGTTTTCTTTAATCCATTAATACAAAGCTTAATGGTCGTGCCTTCATTCAAGTCCCACATTATAACCTTTGTACTTAAACATCACATACCATACTTCCTTTGATGGTGTCCCATGACCTTCTTGTATTAAGCAACGTACCAAAGTACATTATGGTCATGGACCTTACCCACACATGTCAACAACTCGCCAATGAGTGGTTATATCATAACCTAATGTTGCCTTAACAACATGACTTGTGTGTGGTGATGTATAGGTACAATTTATACTACATTGGTTCCTTAGGACCTTTAAACTATGCACCTTGATAGTCTAGTACCTCTAAGTCATAAGCACGTTTTGAATCAACATATTAGTCATCACACCATGGATGATTTGGACTTAGAATGTAACCGGACCTTAGCCTTGGTCGGTATGAACTTTGGTATGGACCAGATGGCTTCCTTAGCCTTTCCATACGCCCACCTCTTTATGAGGTTTGGTAGTGCTGATTTCAACACATATGACAATGACATAGTCACTGAACCATCCATCCTTTCTATGGATTAGTTTACTATAAACACAATGGATTATACACCTTTTGTATAATACACATGGACTGATTGTACTAAGTATTTTCTTAGTATACCATATTACTTGCAGCTGCATAATATCAGTCTATGAACAGCTTAGGAACAATGCTGTTCTTGAGAATTCCTTTTCTCATTTTCATGGTCTTCCTTTGACCATTTATCCAGTGAACCATATGCTACTTACTACCTCATTATATGTCAACTTATGACCAGACATTTGTCAATTTCGAATTTGACTAGTAGCACCCACCACTTAGGAGTTTATCTCCTAATAATATGTTCCTATGTCTCTTGTAAGAACATGAATACCCTGAGTTCATTTTAACCTTTTCCTCAGGGATTCATATACCCACAAGACCTACATATCACTGGTTGATGGTGTTCCAATATGGCCAATACACACATCATACTTTTATATACTCTGAACCCCATGATTCTTTATCTTTATGATTAAGATCTATGAGTACTCTCTCATGGGTTCATGATCCTCATTCCATTTCCATAAATCTCAAGTGCTATTTGCTTATATAAGTCTTCTTATACCACTGGTGTTAACACTCTTATATAGTTCCATTTTACTCAGACATGATCTAAACCATTTTAGATCTTACTTATCCAGTACCTTTCCTGCCTTGTAATCTTGGCGTCCCAAGCTTACATGGTCTGGTACCTTAGATGTTCACCTGGCCAGGTTTTCCCATTTATGTCTGGTTAGTTTCCTTTGAACTCGGATTCCATAATGAAATGCACCTTTCATTTCCTTTCCGAGGTTTCTTTCTTTTGGAACTTATTGGTCTACCTTTATAGACTTTAGCAACTTGATTATGTCTCTACTAGGACATTAAATTCGTGGTGCATAAGCTGGTATGACATAGTCATTCATTCCTGGGTCTTTGTGTCTTCCATTTAGTTTTGCTAGCAATGTATCATTCCTTGATAACTTGTGGACGTCCAGAATCTTATGTTCTAGTCCGAGGA